ATACCTTTTAATGCAAGCAGCTACTGGACAAAATAAAAATCGCTTAGGACCCTCGGAAGGGGTAGCAATCCCACCCCCCACTTCAAAAAATAAATATTTGACGCACTTAAAAATGAGATATCAAGTTGGAATTAATACCAACTATACCTTTTAATGCAAGCAGTTACAAAGCAAAATCGCTTAGGACCCTCGGAAGGGGTAGCAATCCCACCCCTATTTTAAAAAATAAATATTTGACGTACTTAAAATTTAGATATCAAGTTGGGATTAATACCAAGTATGCCTTTTATTGCAAGCAGTTACTAACCAAAAGAACAATCGCTTAGGACCCTCGTAAGGGGTAGCAATCCCACCCCCACTTCAAAAAATAAATATTTGACGCACTTAAAAATGAGATATCAAGTTGGGATTAATACCAAGTATACCTTTCAATGCAAGCAGTTACTGGCCAAAAGAAGAATCGCTTAGGACCCTCGTAAGGGGTAGCAATCCCACCCCCACTTCAAAAAATAAATATTTGACGCACTTAAAAATGAGATATCAAGTTGGGATTAATACCAAGTATACCTTTCAATGCAAGCAGTTACTGGCCAAAAGAAGAATCGCTTAGGACCCTCGTAAGGGGTAGCAATCCCACCCCCATTTCAAAAAATAAATATTTGACGCCCTTAAAAATTAGATATCAAGTTGGGATTAGTACCAAGTATACCTTTTAATGCAAGTAGTTACTGGCCAAAAGCAAAATCGCTTAGGACCCTCGGAAGGGGTAGCAATCCCACCCCTATTTTAAAAAATAAATATTTGACACACTTAAAAATGAGATATCAAGTTGGGATTAATATTAAGTATACCTTTTAATGCAAGCAGCTACTGGACAAAATAAAAATCGCTTAGGACCCTCGGAAGGGGTAGCAATCCCACCCCCACTTCAAAAAATAAATATTTGACGCATTTAAAAATGAGATATCAAGTTGGGATTAATACCAAGTATACCTCTTAATGCAAGCCGTTACAGACCAAAAGGATAATCGCTTAGGACCCTGGGAAGGGGCAGCAATCCCACCCCTATTTTAAAAAATAAATATTTGACGTACTTAAAAATGAGATATCAAGTTGGGATTAATACCAAGTATACCTTTTAATGCAAGCAGTTACTGGCCAAAAGAACAATCGCTTAGAACCCTCGTAAGGGGTAGCAATCCCATCCCCATTTCAAAAAAATAAATATTTGACGCACTTAAAAATAAGACATCAAGTTGGAATTAATAACAACTATACCTTTTAATGCAAGCAGTTACGTGCCAAAAGAAGAATCGCTTAGGACCCTCGTAAGGGGTAGCAATCCCACCCCCATTTCAAAAAATAAATATTTGACGCACTTAAAAATGAGATATCAATTTGGGATTAATACCAAGTATACCTTTTATTGCACGAAGTTACTGGAAAAAAAAAACAATCGCTTAGGACCCTCGTAAGGGGTAGCAATTCCACCCCCATTTCAAAAAATAAATATTTGACGCACTTAAAAATGAGATATCAAGTTGGGATTAGTACCAAGTATACCTTTTAATGCAAGTAGTTACTGGCCAAAAGCAAAATCGCTTAGGACCCTCGGAAGGGGTAGCAATCCCACCCCTATTTTAAAAAATAAATATTTGACACTCTTAAAAATGAGATATCAAGTTGGGATTAATACCAACAGTAGATCAACAACGTTCGTTCTGTGACACATAGGGAATTCAACGTGTAAGAGTGAGAGGTACATATTCAATGGCTAAGAGTGAGACAGACGGTCTGAGAGGAAAACGGGGTAGTGGGGGGAGTGGGGGGATTAAATTTCGTCGAATAGAATTTTTGCGTAGTGGTAAAGCCAAAAGGGCCTTAGCTTATATCTTCTCTGCTATTGGTCCGATTTAAACGGGGGAAAACGGCATTATGAAGAGAGCATGATATAGATTAACGTCGAACAAAAAAAAATCATGCGCAGTGACAGGACAAAAGGACCTTAGCGTGTATCTTCACTGCTATTGGTCCGATTTAAACGGGAAAAACGGCATTATGAAGAGAGCGTGATATAAATTAGTGTACAAGAGAATTTTTGCGTAGAACGAAAAAGCCAGAAGGATCTTAGCGTATAACTTCACTGCTATTGGTCCGATTTAAATGGGAAAAACGGCATTATGAAGATAACTCAGTATTGATTGACGTCGAATAGAAAAAGCATGCGCAGTGACAAGACAAAAGGACCTTAGCGACCATCTTTGCTACTATTGGTCCGATTTAAACAGGAAAAACGGGGGAGTGGGGAGAATTAAATTTTTTTAACGTTAAAGAGAAAAATCATGCGCAGTAGCCAATAAGGCACTAACGTCTATCTTTGTTGCTATTGGTCCGATTTAAACAGGGAAAACTGGGGGTTGTGGGTAAACACTCTAACTCAAAAAATATTTCTACCAACATGTTTTAACAGCAATTTCTTTAATAGCACACTAAACTACACTACATATTGAAATTTTAGAGCTACATGCTGAATGGTCACGTGGTTGACCTAATATATGTTGTAAAGCGTTATTAGATACCTAAGGAGTTTAATGGTACCGTCAAACTTCTTATCGCATTTTGATCTGGAGGAAGTTTAGTTATAGACGCTATATGAAAAATTTTAATGCCATTGTATTCTATTTGCTTCACAATATACATTACAGGTTTTGTTCACTCGACCAAAAGCCTTTTCAAGGTTAAAAAGGTTGTATCTTTGCATCTAAAACACCTACAAACAAATAAACTTCAGATTATTGATTCATAAGTCAAACAGATTAGTTTGATATCTAACCAAACACTCTAGCTCAAAAAATATTTCTAACACCATGTTTTAACGTCAATTCCTTGAATAGCATACTAAACTACACTACATATTAAAATTTCAGGAAAATCAGAGCTACATGCTGAATGGTCACGTGGTTGACCTAATATATGTTGTAAAGCGTTATTAGATACCTAAGAAGTTTAATGGTACCGTCAAACTTCTTATCGCATTTTGATCTGGAGGAAGTTTAGTTATAGACGCTATATGAAAAATTTTGATGCCATTGTATTCTATTTGCTTCACAATATACATTACAGGTTTTGTTCACTCGACCAAAAGCCTTTTCAAGGTTAAAAAGGTTGTATCTTTGCATCTAAAACACCTACAAACAAATAAACTTCAGATTATTGATTCATAAGTCAAACAGATTAGTTTGATATCTAACCAAACACTCTAGCTCAAAAAATATTTCTAACACCATGTTTTAACGTCAATTCCTTGAATAACATACTAAACTACACTACATATTAAAATTTCAGGAAAATCAGAGCTACATGCTGAATGGTCACGTGGTTGACCTAATATATGTTATAAAGCGTTATTAGAGACCGAAGGAGTTTAATGGTATCGTCAAACTTGCGCACCAAGAGAATACGCTGAAGAAAAATAAATTGATTGTAACCATTAAGACACCACCCTGTATCATGCACTATAAAATTTAATTTTAAACAAAATAATATAGTCTCGCTGATAACAAAACCACATTTGTTGAAACTTGAAAATTGATAAAATATTTCCCAGACAGTTACACGGGAAGTTAGAATTTGATAAGAAAGTTCTCAAAACAATAAAACCACATTTACAGGAAGTTATAATTCCGATAAGAAAATTCTCAACCGCATTCACAAGAAATGTTTACTGATATAGCCGTTGTTTTTGAATAAAAGATTATTCATTGACGTCACAACAACGCAGATATATAAGACCTGGAAAAACACATCGTTTCTCAGTTTACGTCTCACCAGCACCGTGAACAGTAGCAGCAAGAACAGATCACCGGTTTACTGATATAGCAGTTGTTTTTGAATAAAAGATTATTCATTGACGTCACAACAACGCAGATATAAGACCTGGAAAACACATCGTTTCTCAGTTTACGTCTCACCAGCACCGTGAACAGTAGCAGCAAGAACAGATCACCGCAGCAATCCACAACAACAGCAACAAATATTTGGTGTGTGTTAAAGTTAATATACAGTGACGTTAAGGTAAGAAATATATATTTTATTATTAGGTTTTCATCATCTTTTGTTTTCTATCGAATTTAATTATAATTTATCCTCTAAATAGTAGATTTTTCTCAATCCCTTTGCTTTTGAAGCAATTTTAAAGTTTACTGACTCCACTTTTTATGTAAACGATTTTTAGTTTATTTTTTAATTTATTTTTGTAAATACCAGATTTTGTTTTTGAATTTAATCATAATTTTTCGTTCCATGTAAACGTATTTTTAAGTTCTAAATCTCTAAATTTTCAGCATAACAGATTTTGCTATAATTTTCTAAATATTTTTAATCAAAATTTTTTAAATTGAGAGAACTTTTTTATTCAAAACGTGTATTTTTTTATAGATGGATACATCAAAACTTAACGAGGCATCTTTAATTACAGAAAGGAAACATAAAACAATAATTAAATTGAATACTCTACCTATTGTAACTCCATTTAAAATTATGAAGTCAAAAATAATACAAGGGAAATTTGGCCCAAGCATTTTAGTTGAACTGGAGCACGGTGTAACATTTTTACCACAACGGGTTGTAGAAACTTACAAACCATACCTACATCACCTCACAGACAGGCAGTACAGTCTCACATTCAGAGGAACCGTTGACACAGGAAAACCGCATCCAGCTGCATCTTTTGAAATTAACGAAAATTAGTAAGTTACAATTTTATACTAAAAAGTGAAATGAACAACTTTAACAAATCTTTTAATCAAGTTAATAAAACTCTAAAACAGTTAAACGACAATTTTTCTAAACCTCTAAGCAAACTTGCAATAAAATCAATTAATAAACATACTAGGAAATGTGGGCTTGCTTTAAAAATAATTCCATTTTCTATTGGGGAAAAACGTAAAATTCATACGAAACTTGCCGAACTAAAACGAATGAAATGTTAAATAAAATTAATGTCAAAGAAGGTAGGCTTGGGATTAAAACGGAGTAGTAGGGTCAAGTGGGAAGATGTTAACGCCATTTTCGATAGAAGAATTAGAACGGGAGTCATAATAAATTTGCAGCACAAAGAAATTAAAGCTTTTTTAAGGGACGCCTATCATACATTTAAAATTAGAGTCAATAAGATTTTAAAAGTTATGCCAATGCTTAAAATAAATACAACTTTTTGGGGAGATTTCATAAAACAGTCTGACGATCAGGAATTAGTAGATAGAAAGTATTTCATCACTCCAAATGCCGCTGTGGACGCAGGAACGAATTTATTAGATTGGTTTAATAATAACGTAGTTGATGTAATCTTAAATAATTTGTCTGAATTTTCAGAGAAAAATAGTGGGTGGGCACTTAGTAAAATAATTTTGTTGGAAGTAGCTATAAATAAATACGAGGTGGGAAATGGTTCGTCTTACATTAAGTTAACAAAACAAATTTCAGATAAAAAAGCTTGCATTAATATTAAAAATACCGATCAGGCCTGCTTTTATTGGTCCATTATTAGTGCTCTTTATCCTCCTACAGGAAACGTATTACGCACATCTTCGTATCCTAATTATAAAACTATTCTAAATACAAAGGGTTTGGAAACTGCGATGCCATTAAACCAAATTTCAAAATTTGAAAAACTTAACCGAATTTCGGTAAACGTTTACACATTAGAATTAAACGAATCAAAAAATAGTTCATCTTATGTAGTAGTACCTGCTCTGTTGACAAAAAATAAACTAGAAAAACATGTGAATTTATTATTAATACAAGATCGGTATTTTCCGAAACTAAATGATTACGAAGCGCCACCTGTTGATAATGAAAACGTAGAAATAAAGTATCATTATTGTCAGATTAAAGACATGTCAAGATTAATTTCAAGACAACTCAATAAAAATCATAATAAAAAATTAATTTGTGACAGATGTCTAAATTACTTTTCTAGTCAAGAGAAGTTGGATGAACATGAAAAACTTTGTCAAAATATTAACAACTGTAAAATTTCATTTCCTTATTTTGATTATGTAGAGTTTAGAAATTACGTGTATAAACAGAAATGCCCATTTGTTATTTATGCAGATTTTGAGTCAGAGTTGGAAAGCTGTAATGATGAGGTTTCTGAAAAAACTAAAAAATATCAAAAACACCGAGCTTTTAGTGCAGGCTACTACCTAAAATGTTCATATGATGATAGCCTTTCTTATTTTAATAGCTACAGAGGGGGCGATTGCATGCAATGGTTTGCAGACCAATTGTCAAATATAGCTAAATTTGTTGAATCAAAAATGAAAAATATCGTTCCAATGGTAGAGAAACCTAGTGCTATTAATGCTAAGGTATGCCACATATGCGAAAAGCCTTTTAATGATAAAGATATCGTCGTTCGCGATCATGACCACTTCAGTTCATTATTCAGAGGTTGGGCCCATCAGGCATGCAATTTGAACTTTAGAAAATTGTTTGTCGTTCCAATCGCCTTCCATAACCTTTCAGGGTATGATAGTCATTTTATTATAAAAGATATAGCCAAACGGGGTAGAGTGAGCATACTTCCCGTCAATATGGAAAAATACATTTCTTTTACACAATACGATTCAGAAACTAGCATTAAATTTAGATTTATCGATTCATATAGGTTTATGGGAGTAGGCCTAGATGAACCAGTATCTACTTTAAGAGCAGAAGACTTACAAATTTTAAAAAAGGAATTTTGCGATTTAGATGAAGAAAAATTCAAACTTTTAACAAAGAAGGGTGTTTTTCCATATGATTACATTAACAACTTAGATAAATTGAACGATACGCATTTACCATCCAAAGAACAATTTTACAATAAACTGAATGATGAGGATATTAGTGATGAGAAGTATGCTCATGCACAAAATGTTTGGCAGCAATTCAAAATTAAGAACTTGGGTGAATATAGCGATTTGTACATGCGCACAGATATCCTTCTTCTTGCTGACGTCATGGAAAATTTTCGAAAAACTGCTTTAAAAACGTACGACTTGGATCCTGCATGGTATTACACCATGCCTGGATATACGTGGGATTGTATGCTAAAGTATACAAAGTGTAAATTACAAATTCTCAAAGATGTTGATATGATAATGTTTATTGAAAAAGGTATAAGGGGCGGAATATCGGTTTGTTGTAACCGATACGCCGAAGCCAATAATCAGTATATGGAGACATACGATCCTACAATACCAACAAAGTACCTGTTTTACCTAGACGTTAATAACCTCTACGGTTGGGCCATGTCTCAGTACCTACCTTATGGAGGGTTCAAATGGGTCGACACTAACATCGACGTCACTCAAATACCTGACGATGCATCAGAAGGCTATATTCTCCAAGTTGATTTGGAGTACCCCGAAACGCTGCACGATTTACACAAGGACTTTCCATTTTGTGCCGAACACCGCGTTCCGCCTGGTTCAAAATTACCTAAACTAATGACCACCCTTTATAACAAAGAAAACTACATTTTGCATTATAGAAATTTAAAGCAAGCTTTAGCACATGGTCTTATACTTAAGAAAATTCATAAAGTTTTAAAATTCAAACAATCTGCGTGGCTGAAGCCCTATATTGAGTTGAATACTCGGTTGAGGGCTGCAGCTACCAGTTCTTTTGCCAAGAACCAGTTTAAACTAGCAAACAACGCTGTGTTTGGTAAAACAATGGAAAATATTCGTCTTCACAGAGTGGTTAAGCTAATAAGCTCATATGATGGTCGATACGGGGCTAAAAATTTAATATCTAATCCGAGATTTCACAACCGAACAATTTTCGATCATAATTTGATGGCTATAGAATTAAAAAAGGCTGAGCTCGTTTTCAATAAACCTCTGTATATTGGTATGGCTATTTTAGATATTTCAAAAACATGTATGTACGATTTTCATTATTCTTTTCTGCTTCCAACAGTGGGGGTAGATAATTGTAAGTTAATGTATACAGACACCGATAGTTTTATATATGATATACGTTGCGATGATGTATACAAAAACATTATTTTTAATCACATTGAAAAATTTGATACGTCAGATTACGATCGTAGTAATCAATACTCCATACCGTTAGTTAATAAAAAAATTCCTGGCTTAATGAAAGACGAAGCCAACGGTAAAATAATTACACATTTTACAGGGTTAAGATAAAAAATGTACAGCTATAAAGTACAGGGGGGAAAAGTCGTAAAGAAATCAAAAGGGGTTAGATATAACGTGGTTAAAAATAAAATTAAATTTGAAGATTATGTTGATTGTTTAAAAAATTTTAAAGAAAAAACTGTAACGCAATGTACCATTCGATCTTACGCTCACAACGTATTTAGCATTCAACAAACAAAAATTGCATTAAGTCCACACGACGATAAAAGGAAACTAATTCCGAGGTCATTTGACACGCTGCCGTGGGGTCATTACAGCTTAGACAAATAATGTTTTAGAGTTTCAATCATCACTTTTTAGTTTTTTAAAATGTAACTTACAAAAAAAAAACTGAAAACAACGTCGTTTGATGTTTGATGACATTGTCAACATCATTTGTCTCATTTAATCGTTTTTTTGATTCTATACTGTAGGAAGTGGAGATAGCTGAATGGTGTAAGGCGCTGACAATTGTGGTTAATAACTATATTAAAATCAAGAGCGCTATTATACCGTTCGACTATCTTTACTTTTTAATAAAACAAAACTTTTCTAAAAATTATTTATTCAAGTCATTAATTATAGAAATTTTATAAAAATAAATGTACTCCCTTAAAGCGTGGTTTAACAAATCGTTTGGAAGTATTTCACACATTGAAAATAACAATTGTACAGAGTCATCACGTGTTTTACAAAAATCGATAATATTATTATAATATAAGCAGAAATTAAGTTCTTCTAATGCAGCCACTCGATTGGACACCAATTGTTTGTTAATTTCAAGAATTTCATGAACTTCTTCTTCACACAGATAGTATTCAACGCCATGTTTCTTTACAACGAGGAATTTGATGTCGTCATAAACCAGTTGCGTAATCATACAATAATCGCCACATGAAAATGTTATGGGGTCATACTCGTCTGGATATGGACAAAAAATCGCCCATCTTTTGTCTGAGAATATCAACAAAAAGAGCCCATTCGAAAGTTCCAAAAGATATTTTAGTAGACCTAAAGTGTTGAGCCAAAATGATTGCTGGAGTAAACGATCTCGCTGGACTTATACCGCATCGAATGTCGTATCCTGATAACATATATGAGGTTTGAAGTAGGTAATGCATCTCACGTTTTGCAGCATCTTCATAGGATTGTACAATTTTGTCAAGTTTTACAGAAGGTTTTAGCTTTTTGAAAAATTGATCGAATTCAGCATCAATATCATCCATATCACTATCGCTATCACTCTCGACTAATACTTCGATACCACTGTCTTGACTGCACATTTTTACTGATCGACTGCAAACAACTGAGAACGTCAAGCTTGATTTTTGCAATTTATACTTTTGCTCCCCCCCACTTTTACCTCCTATTCATAGTCTCCCACTTTTACATTCGGTAGATTGTACAAAAAGGCCCGTGACTTGCAGAAATTTGTTCGTGATCCTATACAAAATCATCGTTTTTGATCCAACTGTTACCTTTTAGCCCCAACCATTTAACGTACATTTTATTTCCTTTGCGTTTAAGAATCTTCTCCACCAAGTAGATATCAGGATTTGCGGTTTTCTGTAATTCTTCTTCGTAGAATGCGCCTTTGATTGGTGCACCCTCCATGTCCTCGAGAAGATACGTAGCGGGATTGGTTATCTTACATTTTGCAACTTTAAATAATTCTGTAGTCCAATTGGGCGTATAGCCTTTTTCAAAAACGTGTTTCGCTTTACTAATGCGTACAATGTCGCCGACTTTAAGTTTTCTAGGCCCTGCAATTTTCAAGTGAGAATATTTTTGTTTCAAAATATATTTTTCGTTTGTCTTGTTTACCTGCGCAGGCTTAGATCCAATCGTTCTATGTTTGGTTTCATTATATTCTTTTGTTAGGTTAGGTAAGGCGTCAAGCCACTTGTATGTTCCAACTAAACTAAAGTATTTATATAATTTCGATTTTAAAGTTCTTATTGCTCTTTCGGCAATTGCAGCTTTGACAACACTGTATGAATTATAATGATTAATGTTGTATTTTTTCATTAAATTTTGGAATTTTGTATTGAAAAATTCGGTTCCTTGATCTGTTTGTAAATTTTTCGGTATTCTTTTGGAGTGAGCGAGAACATCGGCAAAAGCTTTCGTTATTTCCTCACCTGTCTTTGTCTTAAGTGGGAGTGTCCACATAAATTTCGAAAAACAGTCTATTATAACCATAATCATTTTGAAATTTTTATTTTGATGCGCATAAGGACGCATTTCAGCCAAGTCCATTTGCCATAGATCATCCAAACCTTTAATAATTGTACGACGTCTAGGATAGTTTTTACGAGCAGGTCTATGCAACTCGTTAACAAGTTGAATCTTTTCCTTTGACATGATGACTGATGTAAATTAAGGTGTTGCAGTTAGTTTTGTAATACGGGATTGTAAATAGTTGATATTCAAGTCAATTTCTGAAAATTGTACATTTGCAGTTTCACGTAGTAATAATAAGTCCTTTTCATTGGTTTTCGTTATCTGATTGGTGCTTTGTAAAGTGTTTTGTAATACTTTTAGTTTATTTTCATTAGTTTTTGTAATTTGATTAATGCCATTTAGATTTTTTTGTAATAATCCCACCTCTTTTTTTACATCATCAATTACGTCATTTGGAACTGTATTAATTTGATTGTTTAGTTGCTTAATATTTTTCGACATTAAATTTGTAATATCGGTAATTTTAATCAAAAACTCATCACGCAATTGTTTCAGATCTTCATTATATAGGTGTTGTAATTGATTTTGGATTTGAATTATATCAGAACGTAGAGGCGTCAACGTTTTTTCAATCTTTTCCAAAACTGTATTAAGTGATTGTATTTTAGCATTATATTCGTTGTCTGTGTCAGTTTTAATTTTTGCTATATCACTTCGAAGATATCCTTTATTGGTTTTAATCGCATCATCAACGTATTTTTTGGTTGCCATATGTTTACCTGCTGTAGGTGGATTTCTCGAGATGAATGTTTCAAGGTCTATAGTTTTATCTGCAATACCGTTTACACTGTCATTTAACTTGTCCAGAGTTACTTTGTTTATGCTATAATTATTTTTAAAACTGTTTTCCAACTGCCTTAATTTAAGCAATGGTTCCACCGCCTTAGAACTTTGTCTACGTCCAAACTTATCGAGACTCATGATGAAACTGATTATAATATGTAATGTACTCTAATATATGATATCTGCTTCTCGAAGTTCGTCGATTATGCTGACGATTTCGTTGTTTACCGAAGTATTTCCAGCATTCTTCGAAGCCATCAACAACTTCAATCGATCGCAAAGTTCGTTGGGATCATCCCAATAAACATATTCTATAGGCTTCTTATTGTAAATTAATTGGTTTTTATTTAACATACCTTTACCAGAGTACTTGACGACGACGATCCCTTTACCACCCTGTATAAACATAGGTTTTATTATATTTAAATATTTGTCTCTCCTTGTACCTTTCAAATTTCCTAAAGAATTTCGGTGTACCTTAGACATTTCTAAGAATTGTTTATAGGTGGCCAAATCCTCTTTTGTATAACTAGGATCACTGTAGAAAATAAGCTGATATAATCCTGGTGTTCCCTTTGCATAATACCACTTTCCATCAGAATTTAGGATTTTTATACTTCCCATGTTTTTGTCAAAGTCTATGCGCTTGTCACCTAAATACCACCAATCGTTTCCAGGTTCATAAATAGGACCATACACAGGATCGATTTTATCATCTTTATTCCAAAAATCTTGAATGTATGGTTGACTCATTGGCGGATACTGTTCAAGGTACTGCTCAACTACTCCTGGTGCCATCCGTTCTTCAGAATGTTCAGGTTCATCAACTTCGCTAAATTCTTCACGGGTACTACCTCCATCATCTTCAATTATAGTGTCTATCGGTATGTTTTTTATTTTTTGGTGTGGCGATGAGGCTGTTTGTGGATTGAAATGAGACAAAGAGAAATCCTGCTGATTTGTTAACTCTGTTTTCGGCTCGATCTTTGACACGTTTAACAAGTTATTTGAATTTTTTTGAATTTTTCTCAGAGGTTCGGCAATTGGTTTAAATAATCTATTAATAGATTCATCCTCCTCCGTTCGACCTAGTTTCAGAGCCAAGTACTTTCTTCGAATAGAACGTCTAAGTTCGGCAATTTTTCGTTTGCGAGCTGCATCCGTCGACATCTTGACGTCAAGTAATGAGTAACGTATGACACCTACATTTTTATATATTTATCAAAACCCTTACGATATCGGCCATCGTTAAGATCAAAGTCTTTTGCGATTACAAGAGTACCGTATCGATCGTTCCAACATTCAGAACATACCTTTTTGAAATCGTCAAAGGACATGTCAGGCGATACGTGTTCGTCAAAAATATGTTTAAGGTTAATCTCATCCTGTTTAAATACCACAATTACGTTACAGTTATCTCTCACCATCTGTTTTGGAACTTTAGAGTAAGTTTGACAGAGATATGCAGCATCGATATCTTTGTGTCGACACATGGAGTAATATTCACGAATTTTCTGCTGCCCATCGCATGCTACATCATCAAATATAAATATTGAATTTGGTTTAGCATCGTTGGGACTTAGAATTTCTTCGTTGCCTTTGAATGGGAAATAACCTACCTCCTTCATACCAGATAAAACTTCTTTCAGCAATTGGTACTTTGGTTGGTACAATGACTTTGAATAAACATAAACATTTTTGAATTTAGCTCCATTCGGATCGTAAAGAAGCGCCATCATTGCGTTCGTTTTCCCGCATCCACTAGGTCCACATATAATAGCACGAAACGAATTAGGTAATAATTTACCATGTTTACTTTCAGTTTTTTCCGTATTAAAATCTAAGTTGCTTATGGGCAACGTCTGAGCCTGTTGAACTACCTTCATCGTTTATCGCAATTTTATTGCGATACCCTATATATAAGCAAATTCACTAAAGTATGCATCATTCTAAATGTTGGTGTACGAGGTGATCCTGGCATTAATCCTTTGGATACTGCATGTAAAGCACACGATATTGCATATTCCAAGAATCATTCTCTAGACGAACGTCATAAGGCCGATTGGGAACTTGAAAACAGAGCTTGGGAACGCGTCAAGTCGAAGGACGCGACTTTTGATGAAAAATCAGCCGCTTGGCTTGTTACTACAGGAATGAAGGCTAAACGTAAAATGGGTGCAGGATTAGGCGACCAAGCTGTTGCTTGGATGCTTAAAGCGGCTAAACGAAAACTTGGGTTAGGAGCGATTACAGGAAAAGTAGGAAAATCTTTGAAGAAGAATACTTCATCGGATCTGAAAAAGTCAGCCGCTCATGCGTTGAAAGTAGCACGAATGTTAATTAAAAAATCTGGAGGGCGAAAAAGTGTTAGAATTCCTAGGATAATTCCGATTCCAAAGAGCGGAGGATTCCTTCCTTTGATTCCATTATTTGCTGGTCTATCGGTTCTTGGTGCGTTATCAGGAGGCGCGGCCGGCATCGCCAAGACAGTCATCGATGCCAAGAATGCTCAGAAGAAACTTGAAGAAGATCAAAGACATAATAGAGCTATGGAATCTATTGGTAAAGGATTATATTTACGAAAAAACGCAAAAGGAGGATTGGGATTATTTTTAAAGAAACAAAAAAACTACCGTTAAAGCTACCCTCTAGACCTCTATACGATAAAGACTTGATTGCGTATGCTAAACGTTTAAAAATACCATATTTTCGTGGAGTTTTCATGAGAGACACTTTACCAAAGACATCTCACCGAAAAGAATCCGCCATTTTAAATTTAGATACGTCGAGAAATCAAGGAACTCATTGGGTAGCTTATAGAAAGATAAACGATATCGTAGACTATTTTGATTCATTCGGTAATCTAAAGCCGCCGAAAGAACTTGTTCGTTATTTAGGTAAAGCAAAAATATTTTACAACGACGATCCATATCAAACTTATAACCAAATTAATTGAGGACATTTATGTTTAAAGTTTCTATACAATGGAGGCCATACTAGCGTACATAGACGGAAAAAGGACGCTGCAATCCCTTAAAGAAGATGAACTAAGCATACTTCCTGTCGACTATTTGATACGGCACGTTAGACCTGGAGAATTGTTGGATGTTTGGCACAAATTACCTAATGAATATAAATGTAATTTTAATTTACAAATTCGTTTACCTTGTTACGTACATTATAATAGGCCTGACGCTCAAACTCACTTTGATGGGCCTGCAGATGCGCAGGCTGATTGTCACGCTTGTAATTATTATTTTAAAAAATAAATGAATAAAAATTATAAATGTGTATATGTATATAAATCCTTACATCACTCATTCTACATCAGTCATGTTGTTAACTTTAACGAGTACCACTAACGAGTTCTCATTCGTTCCGCAGACCCCTATCATATTAAATCCTGAAAATGCATATTTTCTAGGATTGTTGGGGTTCTGTTCGTACAATTCAATACCCAATATTGATGGTGAAAAGTTTTACTATTATGAAAATAATAATCGAAAAAAATTAAAGACCATCGAAATTCCTACGGGGTGCTATGAAATTACGGATATCGAAAAATATATAAAGAAGGAACTAGAGGTGCGAACCAACAGCATTGACGAGTTTTCATTGCAGCCGAATAACAATACTCTCAAATGCGAAATATACTGCCGAAATCACGCTATTTCATTTGTACAGGATGATAGTCTTGGTAATATTTTAGGATTTTCCAAGACAATTCTTGCTCCAGACCGAAAGTATGCATCGGATCTACCTGTAAACATTATAAAAGTATCTAGCATACACTTTGATTGTAACATTACTGAAGGAGCCTTCTACGGAGATAGACCTACGCATTCAATATACGAGTTCCCGATAATCGAAAATCCTGGATATCAGATTATAGAACGTCCACATAATCCGATATACTTACCTGTAAGCAGTAGCAGAGAAATAACAAACATAACTGTTGTGGCGCTTGATCAGCAGCAGAGACCCGTAAACTTTCGCGGTGAACTAAGTACTCTTCATTTGGAGTTACAAGAACGTTAAATGGGTTTAGTTATAAACACTTATGCATACGTGACGTTGTCAGTACCAACCAGAGCTCCTCAGCGACAAGTCGTTATATCTACACAAAACCTATTATTTCTTAAATCGATTGGATTAAAACCTAAACGAAATGGGAAAACGTCAGCATGATGATGATGGTGATGAACCGACGATGATGAAACGTTTTCGATTCGATGAAGGTGGTATCGATCCAAAATTCAATCTTTATAAAAAACCACGATTTGATGATACAATTAGAAAAGAAGAATATCGATCCTATAGTCCATACGTTAAATCGTTCAACAACAGTGACGTCATTGAATTTATCATAAATCAATCTGATGCATTTTTCGCCATGCCTGACACTCTATTGGAAATTAAAGGAAAATTGGAAATTACTGGCGGGGGAAAATGTGAATTAGCACCCAATTTTGGAGCGTTTCTTTTCGATAGCTGTTCCTACAGCGAATGCTCTAGAGAAATAGAAGTCGTTAGAGATCCTGGAATCGTAAGCACCGTACGAGCCTTAACATGCTATGGACCGGAATACAGTCGTTTCATGAGTATTGCGGGATGGAATTATCCCGATACCCCGCTTCTGAATGGTTCAAAACATTTCAATTTGCTTATGCCTCTTAAACACATTTTCAACGTTTTCAATGATTATACTATGATTACCTATGGTAGACAAACATTTCGTTTAGTTCGATCACGTAACGATAATGATTGTGTCATTGTCACAGAGCAGCCTATAACCGGAGGTAGTGGTATGACCTCTACAACCGTTAAATTGATAATTGAAAGTATGGAAGTAAAAATTAAACATATCTTCCCTAATGACGAAATTAAAATTAAACTTATGGAACCCATCAAAAATGATCGCCCTATATTGATTCCGTTTAGAAACTGGGAATTAAATGAACTACCATCAATAACTAAAGATTCTAAACGAGAAATTTGGGCCGTAAAGACTAGTGCTGCCGTAGAACGTCCACGATATATATTAGTTTGCTTCCAAACTGACAGGCGGAATAAACTAAGTAGCGACCCCACTAAATTTGATAATGTTAACCTAACCGGTGTTAGAGTATCTCTAAACGGGGAATATTGGCCAAACGAACGAATGCTTTTAGATTTTAAAGAAGACGACTATGCTATTGCTCACTACAACTACACAGAATTTAATGCAAACTATATAACCGGTACACCGAAAACGGCTCTTCTAAACTATTAAGCATTCAAACGATACGCATTATTTGTGATTGATTGTTCAAAGCAGGAAGAGACCATGAAATCTTCTACGGTTGACGTAAAATTGGAAATAGAAGCAGATACAGGATTCCCCGCTAATACCAAAGCATATTGCATCATAATTCATGATCGTTTGATAGAATATCGTCCTCTTACGGAAGTAGTTAAGAGTATTATTTAATAATATTATGTTCAGTCTCGTTTCTGTCATCATGAGGATCGCATTCGTTGACATCCAAGGCTTCTGCATCGACGGTATTTTTCATCCAAAGGAATTGAGTATCGCAATTGGTTGTAAAAAATACCACGCTTTGTTCACACCGTCTACACCTTATTCTAACCTAAATACGCCTGATAGAATTAGCGCTAGATATGTTGAGAAACATATTCATGGGATCAACTATTCCTCTGGAGACGTGGATTATTCCAAGTTAAACTCTATTCTGGAAACATATGTACTAAACCATGCTGATTGTATTTACGTACGAGGAAGTGAAAAAGCTGAATTTTTACTAAAAAAGTGTCACGTGTCACGTCCTATAATAGTAGATGTATGCAAGTTCGATGGAACCCCGTGTGCAACAGAAAAATTCAGTAGTGACTCCAAAACCTGCATGTACCACGCCAATGGATCATTTAAATGTACCCAGAAGAACGTCGAAAGTCTACGCCAATGGTTTCTTAATTGCATACCTTTGTAATTTTTTTGTTATTAATAAATGATTATAAATGAAAAAAAGGTTTTTAATTGAAACTCCTTATTAATTTCATGCATTTATTTTCGTTTTACAAGAAGAATAAAAATTTTTATTTATAATTTTTACAATAATTTTCAATATTATAAACAAAGTAGATGATAGTGTTATACAATCAAAGAGGTTAGAAAGGGTAGAGGTAACATAGGAAGCATTTGTTACTGCGCGAATTTTGCCAAAACCGAAAAACTGGGTGAAAGGAGTAGGGAGATGTTTTGGGCCGGACTTAAATATTTTTATTGTAATACCTAATTTTGGTAGGTAACTAAAAGATGAAAAATTATGAGACGTTTTTTTGACTTTATTTGATAGCACGATTCAATTATTATGAGGGCAATAACACTTTATCAATATATAACTAGCTAAGGGCCGATTCCACCATTGTGTCAAACGAAGTTTAAATTACTGAACGAAGATTAAAATGACATTGTTAATGTAATAATGTCATTTTAAACTACATTTAGTAATTTAAACTTTATTTTTGTTAATATAAAAATATCATTTTAATCTTCGTTTAGTATGTATTTTAAACTTCGTTTAACAAAACGGTGAAATCGACCCTAAGTAAAAGTTTATAAAATTATTGTAACAAAATAGCTGTTGAGACAAAAAGTTTTCGAAACAGCCAAAGTACTTTTTGCTCGAATTACACACAAGATTTTTTCTACGATCACACCAAAATAAAATAAATAATTAAATTTTATTATAAATGGGTTACCTTTTCGTTCGTTATAATATTTTAAGTTTATTTGACATAAACCTACTTTTCGAAGAGTAAAAAATGTTTTGGTACTTATACACTGGTAATTATTTATGATTTAATTATTTACGAAAAATACCGTTCAATGATTTAAAATATTAGGGAGTCAATAAATAGCTATTTATGTAACCAGTTACGAAATGCCTTATTTTGTGTAACGAGTAAATGTTTGCTGACGAGCGGAGCAAGGTCCCGCAAAATGAACGAGTTACACAAAATGGCATTTCGTAACGTGTTTACATACAAGATTTTTTCTAATGTTGTTTTGATTATTTATAAAATTGTGTTGAAAAATGATTCACCATCATTCTTTTGTAGGTACTTCCAATCAAATATTTCAGAAAATTGTTGTTTTGATTGCCCTACGACGTTTTTTTTTTTTTTAATAGTAACAATAAAAATAAAGGACATGTGCAATGTTGCCGATCTGATTTTTGACATTACCCGCGACAAATTTAAAAAAAAACATTTTTACCCATTATCCTTAAAGGGGTACGTCAAAATTTTACCCCCAACATTTCTGGGCAGTTTTCAATAACGGTGTTATTTAAAAAATAAAATGCAATTTACAGCTTTTCTTTTTTTGTTTTCTTTTTTGTTGTTAAACGTAATGTCATATTTTCAAATGTGAAATGTCACTAATCATTGCCTTTTTTCGATATTTGGTTTTTTCGATTTTTCGTTTTTTGGATTTTTCGATTTTTTATTTTTCGATTTTTAGATTTTTAGATTTTTCGATTTCTCGATTTCTCGATTTCTCGATTTCTCGATTTATCGATTTTTCGACTTAAAAACCAAAAAAGAGTTTTATTTATTTTCATTTCGTAACTGATGACATAATCCACTTTTCGTAATCAGTTGCATAATGTTCTACTTTATGCAACTGGTTGCATAAAGTAGATCGTTTTGGCACTTGCTGCGATTACAAAATATATTACTTTATATGTCAAAATTAGAGAAAATAAAAAATGCAAATTAAATGGATAGATCCCATATTATTATAGAGCAGTGTTTCTCAAACTTTTTTGGTGACGGAACCTTTTTGAAAAGCGAAAAATTTGACGGGGCCCTCAACACATATATCATTAAAAAAATATTTTTCAAATTTTTCTTCATTTTGACTTTCAAAAGATAAGTAAACGTGATAAAAAATCGGCTTTATATTATGCTCAGATTTCACATATTCAATTTTATAATTGTAATTTGACAATATTACTGCCCATCTACTTAGTCTGTTGGCTGCAAATTGGGGTAAAAATAGTTACCAGAAGTAAGTGATCTGTAACTAGGATAAAGAATTGCCCATATAAATATTCATTAAATTTATTTAAGCCAAAAATTATTGCAAGGCCCTCTCTTTCAATTTGGGAATATTTTTGTTCAGACTTTGATAAGGTATGCGAAGCAGAAGCTATAGATTTCTCAATATTTTTTTTTAAAACATGACACATCATGGCCCTTATTCCCACATTTGATGCATCCTACGTTAATTTAATCGGCAACTCAGGCTGAAAATGCACAAGAACATAATTTGTTGTTAATTTATTTTTGATTAATTCCAAAGATTCCTTGCAAGAATTATCCCAAATCCATTTCAGCCATAAAAAATAAAATAAAAAGAAGTCCTAAAGCAAAATCATATATCCTCTTTCCTCTTAGTGACTTAAAAAAATTACTTTTCAAAAAAAAGGTCCTTAAGCCAGATCCCTCCATTTTGTGGCGATAGTACTGTTTTCTTTTTATTATGATTATTTTCTTCGCGAAGTCCTCACGAAGCCCACTTTGAGTAACACTGTTGTAGAGAAATACTAAATAAATAGTTTTGAAAAAACTATTGAAACCAGTCGTGAAGTTTGAAACGAATAAATTGGCAATGAAATTGATATTTTTGTATTTGATTGTATGTTTCTCTTTCCACTTCCTGAAAACAGATTCCCTATGAAACAAGAAATAGTAAACAGTTTATAAAAATAACCTTTATTTGCTACTTATAACATGTACCAATGACCAAGTCCGATTCTGTTTATTTTCAAATCAACAAATATGGACGTCGACAGAATCTTTAAAAATTAAATATCTCACCGAAATAAATATAAGTTTCTTTTATCTCCGTCACATTTCGCACTTTTATTATAAATAAAGCTTTTTACAACATATCTTGGCATTTTCAGCATTAATTTCCAAAATTTAAGTCACTAAAATACCAAATTAATTTTCGTTGACACATTAAATTTGGATGGACAACTCTCTAACATGTGATGTTCTCAACTGTGATTGGTGGGTGTGAATAATTTCGAAAATGGGATTATGCGCAGTGTCTTATGTTCCATCTAAGGTTTGTATAATCTAAGTATACAACTAACTACATATAATTTAGAATATTTGGGCTCTGACATGTCACTCAAATCGATGGGTGGTGGTGGTGGAGTCTGCCAATCTTTGAATTCTCCTTCAGTGCCATCATTAAAAATCAATTTTAATTTGTATCTCTTTGCTTCATCGATTGCTATGGAAAACGTATTTAGCTTCATATTATTTACCACCGAGAAATTCATCTTTCGCCATTCCGTTTGATTATCAAAACGTATCGCCATCTGTTGTACGCCCAACGGTACATTGGTATACAGTACGTTGTTTAATATAGCCGTAAGTATAATGAAATTAGCCTTTAAGATGGCCATATTTGCGTCGGTTGGATTCTTCTAAGTGGATACTGATTAGGATAATATCTCTCAAAGCCTTTATCCCAAAGACTTAAATTTGTCAAATCTCTTAAAACTTGTTTTTTATCTTCATATAATTTTATGTCTCTTCTTAGTTTTTGAACTTTTATACCAAACTCTTCAATTCTACGTCTATTCTCTTCGCTAGACATCTCAATACTGAATACTATACTTATTTTACTTTAAAAACCGGGTGTAGGATACGCCTCCTCTCGGAGATCTGGGTTGTTAACCTTGACGCTTGATACTAGCAGAAACTAACCGTCAAACGTCAAACGTGAAACGTCAGTCGTCAAACATCGAACGTGAAACGTCAGTCGTCAAACATCGAACGTCAAACGTCAAACGTAAAACGTCAAACATCGAACGTCAAACGTGAAACGTCAGTCGTCAAACGTCAAACTTTTCGGTGCACATACCCCCATTTTTCCCATTTAAATCGGACCACGTGATACACGCTAAGGTCCTTATGGCATTGCGCATGATTTTCCTCTTGTATGTTAATCTATATCACGCTTTCTACATAACCCCCTTTTTCCCGTTTAAATCGGACCAACGATAGCTGAGATATACGCTAAGGTCCTTATGGCATTGCGCATGATTTTTTCTTTTCGATGTCAATCTATATCACGCTCTCTTCATAATGCCGTTTTTCCCATTTAAATCGGACCAATAGCAGTGAAGATATACGCTAAGGTCCTTTTGTCCTGTCATTGCGCATGCTTTTTCTTTTCGATGTCAATCT